TGTCAGAGTATGATACTCCAGGGATCTTGTAGGCTGTAGGATGCTTGCTCTTGCTCTGTTTGTAAACAACGGTACCTGAGATTTGCAACTTTCAGTCATCTTCCCCACTAGCTTTGTGGAAAGCTGGCAGGGAGTCCCAAGTCAAAATCATTTGGGGTCCTCATTTAAAAATCTGCAACTTTTATTTAATGATGGCAATGAGGACTGCCAATTGCCATGGACATGGCTTAGCATGGAAATTTAGGGCCCCCAATTGCCATCATTGAGGACTACCTTTACTCAATTTGGGGATGGGGGCTTCTGGATTCATAGCTCTTGCTTGAGAAGCAAGTAATAACTGTAGCCAGTAAGGCCTTTGTGTAGATTCATCTTGTGCACTCATATTCCAGGTCATTTCAACTTCTCTGTCAGGGCTCCTGCCCTCTGGGAACAGTGTCTCCCCAGATAGGTGGACAACCATTTAAATATGAGCCAGCAGTGTGCAGCAGCTGCCAAAAAAGCCAACACAGTTCTAGGCTGCATAAACAGAGGGATAGAATCAAGATCACGTGAAGTGTTAATACCACTTTATAATGCCTTGGTAAGGCCACACTTGGAATACAGCATTCAGTTTTGGTTGCCACAATGTAGAAAAGATGTGGAGACTCTAGACAGAGTGCAGAGAAGAGCAACAAAGATGATTAGGGGACTGGAGACTAAAACATATGAAGAATGGTTGCAGGAATTGGGTATGTCTAGTATAATGAAAAGAAGGACTAGGGGAGACATGATAGCAGTGTTCCAATATCTCAGGGGTTGCCACAAAGAAATGGGAGTCAAACTATTGCCCAAGGCACTTGAGGGTAGAACAAGAAGCAATGGGTGGAAACTAATCAAGGAGAGAAGCAACTTAGAACTGATGAGAAATTTCCTGACAGTTAGAACAATTGATCAGTGGAACAGCTTGCCTCCAGAGGTTGTGAATGTCACAACACTGGAAGACTTTAAGATGTTGGATAGCCATTTGTCTGAAACGGTATAGGGTTTCCTGCTTAGACCTTGGACTAGAAGACCTCCAAGGTCCCTTCCAACTCTGCTATTGTATTGTATTATAAGTGCATAGGTTCCTTAGACCTTGCTTGGTTTCCAGGCTTGGCATTAAGGTGTTTCACAGCAACAATAACATTATGTTTGTTTGTAACTGCATTTTAAAATGATGTATTTGAAGTATTGTAAATTGCCCAGGATCTTTTTGGATTCATGCAGCATTACAAATCCAATAAATAAATAAATTTTATGGAACCTAAAAGATATGCCTTTTGCGTTACCAATCTTTCCCTTAGAACAGCATCCTTCTCACTCCATATTGCCCCAGTCCTGCTATCCTTCAAGGTCTTAAAATCCTGACTCTTTTCATAGATATTTGGTTGGGATAATGCATGAATTGATTCATGTTGTATATTTTGAGTCTGTATTTTTCCCCTGGTATGGTTGCTTCTATTATTGTGATATTTATATTAATTTCAATACTGCTATTATGTTAATGCTGTATAAACCACCCAGAAACGTTTGGCGAGTGTAGGTACAGCATTAGAATTTGAATGAATAAATGACTGAACAAACAAACGTTAGACAAACATAAAGAAATTAAAAGTAATACTTGACTCATTAAAATAAGCAACTATTGCTTATTATTAAATAAGCAATTAAGCAACTACCAAAGCCTCACAGGCCCTCCCAACCAGCTCTTTGGTCATCAGAATAATGGTTGTCATGAACAGTATAAAAATAGGTGGCAGATCTAGAGTCTGTCCCATAAATAAGTTATATAGTAGTTCTTCATTGGGCAGAGGTCCCTGTCTAGAAACCAAAGGAACACATTGCCATTCATTCAGAATGCGGCAAAGAGGTTTTCACCACCAGCTGAACAGTCTGCTATGGTGTTTCCAGGGGACAACTCTTCCTTTGTATATACCAGAGCGAAGCTTGCAGTATTTCTTTCAAAGCCAGTGTCTTAACATGTGCAATATATAACACTGTTGGGCATTACCTATTTTGGATTAGGTATTTCTGTTATGGGTTGGGAAAGGATCATAACCCTTATACCAAATTGTGACAGCATAAATATTTGTGCATACCGAGAACAAAATTGTTTATTGATTTAGTGTTATTTTGGTAACAGCTTTAGAGTTTAAATTTTCCAATCATTTCTATAGCTGCAGTTCTAACTGTATAGATATTGAAATAATACAACATTTTCAAGTAGCATTGTTTCATTAAAAATATTTAAAATCTACCTAATAGTATTATTTCTTCAGGGTTGTCAAAAGCATCTATCTCAGGATTCTTACCCTCCACAAATATACCCTCCTGATAATATAGTATGTTGTAAATCTTAGTATGTTAGCCTGTATAATGTTTACTGCTGACATAACTTGGAAATTAGGATTGAGTCACTGGTTTAACTTGAAATTTCTATATTATTCCTATCTATAAACATTTTAGTGAAGGACAATGCCAGAAGTCTTTATACCAGAGATCCCAAAAACTGCAGTTGGTGGACTGGCACTGGGCTGCGGCATATCAGAAACTGGGCCATGCAAACAAGTAAAGCCCCATCTGCAGGATGCAGACAGCACACAAAACCTCACCCCCTCCGGTCCGCAGAAAAACCTCTCTCCATAGAATCAGTCCCTGGTGCCCAAAAGGTTGGGGATCGCTGCTGTACACCAATCGTAAAAAAGGAGGAAGGAAAGAGGAAAGAAAATGTGTAACATTAAGATTATGGAATGCATAGCTGCTGCAACTTGGTCTGCAACTTGTGCATCATACAAGATTGCTGCTGGGTGGGAGGTCTCAATTGCAAATTAAAACAAAAGTTCAAAAACTGCTTAGCATGCAAGAGATAGAGAAGATCCAATATTATGAACATTTGAAACTCTGTTTTTTGAGGGGAGATGGAATTAAGTGTCTATAGAGATTCTCAGTCATCCAGGTCATGGTTGTCCCAAAGCTGCTTTTTTTCAAAAGGCAACTTGAAAGTCCAGTTGCCTCTTGGGGGAAAAAAACATCTTTGGGAGAGGATTAAGTGAAATTTTGCACAAGAGCACCTTGTATGCAACAGTAGCCCCAATAGAATGCCAAATTTTGTTGATCTTGATTAGCCTCTTAAGTGCTAAGAGTGGCAGATAGGTTTCAATTTACAGGGATTGCTTATTTTGACCCCCTGCAAATGTCCCTTGGGCAAACAAACATTATGAGCTATATTCAACTGATGAAAGACCTCAATTATTGCATGTCAGCATCCAACATTAAATGAAGTACACAGTATTTTATGAGACAGAGTTAGAATAAAGAAGAGATTCTCTTGTAAGCAAAGCTTGAAAAGTATTAATTTATTTTCTGAATTCCAATTTTCAGGTCTAGTCAACCTTAAGCATACAAATGCATACAAACTTAATACATGTCTGCACTATTTTAATTCTACCTCTCTCTGCTCTAGTAGAAGAAAGAGCTTACACATACTGATTACCAATTGGTTTCTCAATCCAATTCAGAACACAATTAAACAGGTAATCAAAATTTAAAAATCTTATATAAAATTTCACAAGAAACACTACTATTGGCTGAAGTATCTGAGATTTTACAATGCAAGGTTTTTTTTTTCATAGGATTGTGTAACAAATCAAACAATGGTGTATCTATTTTAGGGCACTTACTGAGCAGCAGCTCCCTGGAATTTAAGATAGGAAGGTTATCCAGCCTTAAATGGAACTTCCAGGGATAAAACCCAGGATGTTCTCCATGCATATAATGTATTGGAACAAACAGCTAGGCCTCTTTTCTTCAAAGGATGTCATGCGTCTCTTAAAAGTTACAGGGCCCATCTACTGCTATAAGACATAAAGACACAAAAAATTAAATTAAAAATTACCCATCTTATTCTAATGAAGAATCTAAAAAGAAATACCACTAAAAACTCTCCATTGTGACGTTGCAATATTTCTGAAAGGGTTTCAGTAAAGGAACAGTCCAGGTCTTTTTTTTTAAAGCAAAAGGTTCATATAGAAGAGCCAAGGTGGCGCAGTGGTTAAAATGCAGCACTGCAGGCTACTGCTAGATCAGCAGGTCAGCGGTTCAAATCTCACCGGCTCAGGGTTGACTCAGCCTTCCATCCTTCCGAGGTGGGTAAAATGAGGACCCAGATTGTTGGGGGCAATATGCTGACTCTCTGTAAACCGCTTAGAGAGGCCTGAAAGGCCTATGAAGCGGTATATAAGTCTACTGCTATTGCTATTGCTATTCAATTGGCCATGGAACTGACAATTGACAGCCTATTAAGAGCCAAGGTGGCGCAGTGGTTAAATGCAGCACTGCAGGCTACTGCTAGATCAGCAGTTCAGCGGTTCAAATCTCACCGGCTCAGGGTTGACTCAGCCTTCCATCCTTCCGAGGTGGGTAAAATGAGGACCCAGATTGTTGGGGGCAATATGCTGACTCTCTGTAAACCGCTTAGAGAGGGCTGAAAGCCCTATGAAGCGGTATATAAGTCTACTGCTATTGCTATTGCTATTCAAAATATTTTAAAAGTGAAAGATTTAAAATGAAAGATTGATATTAAAATATATTGTTCCATTACTTTTAAATCAACTATTACATTTTTAATCACAAATTTACCATGGTACTCAGCCCCTCGCCACTCATTCACACTTTTGCTGTCACGCACACCTAGTCTCACACATGTTCATAGAAATATTATTAACCAAATGGTCACCAAAATCAATAGCCAATAACATTGGTGGGCATTGTCCTTCAATTAGACTTTGTAAGAATACATGAAGAGCAGAAGAAAAACTTAAAAGAATTTAGTTCAATATGTTTATGGATAAAACAAAGAAAACATCAAGAGATTAAAAGTTCTTCATTCTGTTAAGTAGGCTTATTGCATTATTTTATAAATTTAAGAAGTTTATGAAATTTATGAAAGACAGATGCAATGTATGGCAAGAAATGAAACATTATTTTGTGTTTAAAGTAATTACTTTATTAATAAATATACATCCAAATGATGACATAAGTACAGTTCATGAATACTACGCCATTCCCATACAGACAATTGCACATGAGTAGCTGAGGTTCATGGATGTAAGAACAAACACAGTTACCTAATCAGACTTTTTACACCAGAAGACAGGATGATGATATTAATGATTTTTTTTCTAATAAAATAACCTGTCCATGGAAAAGCAAGTCGTGAAAGTGAAAATCTTAAAATAGCCTACAGTATTTAAATATATATTTTTAAAAAAATTGTTATGCTATCATAATTTTCAAGATGAAATTGATTACACATTGCAGAACTTAAATTTATCTATTTGGGAGAGGAGACCAAAAAGAAGGGCTTGTTCTAATATTGTCATTATAATAATGAACTATATTTAATATATGTGTAATAAAAAGCATTTGAGTATAAGCAAGTCTAGAAGCTTTGATTGCAAGCAACTGTAGTTAGTGAACTACATGATGCTCCGCTGTATGTACAGTCATATAAAGTAGAATGACAAACTTAGGGAATAATTGTAGATTTCTCATTCTGAAAGTTTTTGCCTTTAAAATTCTTTTAATGCCCTGACTGTAATCCCTCCTGCCTCATTGGTCATGGAATTTCCCATCCCATATACATTACTTTCCTGGATTTCTTGTGACACCAAAAGAAAATGTGTAATTTCTTAAAAATGGCCCATTGCAGAACAAAGATCCTGATCAGTAATAAGTAACCTTAAAAAGTTATGAAACAAAAGTGATTTTTGATATAGTAGACAAAGCTGTATTTAGAAAGTACTACCTATACAATAATTTTGAACATATCCAGTGCAAGACTTAAAAAATAGTAGTAAAGTTATTTGGTTCTATAGTTTATGTAAAGTTAGTTAGAAAGTAAACAGCATTTTTTTCTGTCTTTTAAGTAGTATAGGTCCCTATTAATACTTAATTATTTATTTATCAAAAGATACAACAAATATCTATATTTAACCAAAAGATAAAGCACAACATGTAGATGTTTTGAGCAGTGTGAATACACATTAACAATCCTAGCTTATGTAGAGTACAATTTATAGAATATAAAATTATCATTTGCTTTACAAATCATGTATCAATACTATCGAAAGAAAGGACTCTCTTCCTTCCCAATAATAACAAAGCATAGGAATTAACATGCTGTTGCAGTGTTTATCATGACAAGAGATAGTGTACCAAAAAAGCACAATGTATTCAGAAGATTATATACAGCAGTAGCAAAAATATTTGAATTTATCATTCAAACATCTCAAATCGCTGACTTCTGTTTTCTCTATAGCAAGGCCCTTATGAACTGCAGTAGAAGGTAAAATCAATTGAAATCAAGAAATGTCCAACAGTGCTCTCCTGGCCTGGTTAATAAATCCAATGAGTATATAACTACCCTTTCTGCCTATTTTATCTGTATTGGTCTTTTTAATGGATGTTTTCTATTTTATAGATGAGCATAAATTGCTTATTTTCTCATCATATATTTTTTCAGAATACATAATTCATCACATTAGAACTATAATGCATTGCCTTACCTCCCAATACACCGTATGGCATCGTCAAACAAACTCATTTATGAGAAGTTTTTTAAAAAGGGTAGCATGAGAAAAACAGGAGGTAAGAAATATAGTTAATTAAAAATACACTTCTGGCATGAGATAAATTTGTATCTTGCCGTAAGAGTATGCCGTTTTTTTTAGATTTTACATTCAGCTTCTCTCCAAGCAGCTTTTGGGAAGGGGGAGGCGGGGGAAGTGTAATAAAAGAGATAGTACAATATATGTCCTGAGGGAGAATTAGCTCACATTAGCACTGTGTCGAAAGTTGCACCTCTGTGAAAAAAAGTTTAAAAAAAAGTGATAATTCCAAAGTTTCTCAAGGAAACATAGCTTGAGCAAAAAATAAGACAAAACAATTTAGTAGCAGTTTAGCTGCCTTAGTTTACATGACTAAAAAGCCTTCCAGTACTGTTGAGGTTCATGGTTGCCAGTGCGTACAAAGTCCCCTCAAAGCAATTCAATACTCTGTTATAAAATATAGGATAAAGTCCAGCTCATTATGAGTTAGGCTGAAACACCTGAAGGCTTGCTGTTTTTTTCCTGATAAAAAAGGCATGAAATGACACCCATTTCTTAAGTTGTCATTACAGGAATCAGAGCTGTCATCAAAACATCAGGAGGCTACAACATTGATCTTACAAAGAAAAAATTCAATACTGTTAATTTTCACTTGTACGTAATGTGAAAGAGGTCTATTCCAAATGAAAATTGCAAATATTTACAACCTCTCTCAAGTGAATATAAAGATAAAACATTTAAGAATTAACTAAATGTAAACTTAGTTTTGGAATAACAATTATGAAATCCATTTAATAGAGTGTTTTCTGGTCAATGATAATGCAATTTGTGTAATACTGAAGAGACAGTCTATCATTTTTTGTCTTTCCCCCTTTTTCTCTCACACATACATACATACGTACACACTCATATACAATCTTAAAAATAATAACACATACCCAGCTCAAAGCAGAACATTTATTTTAGGTGCACAAAATTCAGAAATTGTATTTATCATTCTGCACCTCCATGCATAGATATATTCCTTAAATCTGTTATATATCTGGGTGTCTATAAACACATCAAATCACAACTTGCTTGTGCATCATCTGTATCATTTCCAATTATGAACCATGAAATGTCTTCCTTTGGTAAATATATGCTCACTTAGCTCCAGAAGTTTTACTGACAAAATTATTTTTAAGATGGGAAGATCATGTATCTGAAAAGTGTAATTTTCAATTATACCAAATTTTTAAACTTTTTTTTAAAGGCTGCTAGCTATGCAGATATTATAAAATCATTTTGAATTTGTATGTTTCCGGACAGATTTTAAAAAATACAGGGCAATTCTACAACTCCGCTTATTTGATTGCGTATCAATCAAATTAATTGAATTAATAAGGGAACAAAATCTCAAAGATAACCTTAATTATGCCCAATAAATACATATTTGATAGCACTTTTAAGATTAAAAAAAATTCTGATATTTCATTATTTATAATTTGGTGTGTATAGTCTTAGGCTTTATAAACCATAGTCAGCAGTTCCAAGAGAGATACCATACTGTAATGGAAAAAAGTAGCACTTAGACTATAGATCAAGTGCTGCATACAAACTATTTCTTTAACAAAGTATTTGAATTGCTTGTAACTGATAGCACTTCAATGAATGGCTGCCTGGAATGATAACTTCCTAAAAATATAGCTTCGAAGTTTTGACATTATCTACAAGTTCTGAGGTCCGTGTTAAATTCCAGCAATTGTGGAAAAAATTCATTTCTACTCATTCCTATTTAAAAAAAGAAAAAAAAGAATCATATACATTGCAAAATTTGTAGAACTACTGTTATTTATAAGACAATCTTGAATGATTGATTTCTATTAATCTACTCTGATGTGTTTTCATCAAGTCTCTGTTGCAATCTTCAAAACCAGGGAGCTGGAAATCTGCTATTTGAATTAATAGCTCCTCAACTAAAATGGCTAGGCAATATTTTTTGTTGTTCAGAATATTTGCAACTACTTTTTGAAAATACACAAGGGCATCACTGGGGATTCCACTTGTAAACAAAGAAACATTATATGGTTATGATATGCCATCTTTAAAAAAAATAAGAAAGGAAGTTGTGAAAAAGTTACAAAAGAAGTGAAAAAACATGCCACAACTCAGATAATTTAAAAATGATTACTAGAGAAATATTTATCAACCTATACATATTATTCAGTGGGTTGTTTGATTTTGCTACTTGTTTCACCAGTAGCATGTACTCCTCTGTTATGCACCACAGAATAAGGAAAAGCTGCACTGCTACAAGTATAACTTAGATTTGGAAGCCGTGATAGAGCTTTAATGCTGCCAGGAGGTCTCCCCGGGCTGACTTTGTAACCTGCAGCTTTAGTTGTGCCCAAGGGTCTACCTGGACTTGTCTTAAATCCAGCTGCTTTGGTGGTCCCGAGTGGTCTGCCTGTGCTTGTTCTGTACCCCGCTGATTTTGTCGTCCCTGAAGGCCTTCCGCGTTTTCCAGATCTGTTGAGATTTTTCTTTTTTTTAAGTTCATCTTTCGTCTCTAAATTTCTGCTACTTGTGGTCTGCAAATGTGGTTCATTTAATGCATCTTGTCTCTGGCATGGTATTGGCTTGTGCCCAACTGTGTGGCTATACTTGGTTTGCTGTGTGGAATATAAATCAAACTGATCGGTGGGTGTCCCATTGTCATCGTTAAGGCAAGATGTTTTTCCAGTCCCGCAGAAAGGGGAGTTGCTACTGGCAACAGGGTGCATCATTTTCTGCTAAAAAAAAAATGAAATAAAAGTTTAAAACCAAGATAACATTATTTAAAAAAAACTATGTTTTGCCTTAAATTGTGTTTATTGCCTTATGAATGATTTCCAATGTTAAAGAACTTCATATAGCATACAAAGTAGCCCAACACATTACTTAAAACAAAACCATTTCAAATCATTGCCAGTGTATACATGCAATTTGTATTTGTGTTCGTTTCATATGTTTGTACTACATAAACTCAACTTTTTATATTAAAAATACTTTTAAATTCACAGCAAAATTCTAAATCAAAATAAGCTTCACAGATGCGAAGCTCTTTTCGGCACTATAAAATGCAAACAGTAATTCATCATCAAGCAATTGCTTCTTATGGACACTACTAGTAAGTTATTATGTGATCCCTCTGAAATCTTGCCAAGGGCTTAGACTCCTTCGTCCGTCAAAATTGAACCATTTCCAATGCTAAAAATTGAACACACATTTGTAAGATGCCAGGTGAGAAGTACTGTTATAATATTGATCTTTACTAATATTCCGGGGTTCTAATTCACACTTTTGGTTAACCCTAGTCTGAAAATGGCAGATATTTTTTTAAAAATTGTGAGCAGGGCTATTAATACTTTATGTCAGCTAATCGTCAATCATATTTTTTAAACAAATGAAAAGGAATCTGGATTACCTCAACACATAGAATGGCAGGAGCTTTCAATTAAAACATCTAATATTGTAATTTAATTCAGGTAAATTAGCAAGATCCAAAAGTCTTGAATTATGACCAACACAATATTTTAAATAGTTCTAAACCTGAAGGATTTTTATGTACAACTGACTTGTACTGTTTTAAATGAGCATTAGTTATTTATAAGAGTTTTGAAATAAATTCGAAAATACAAAAATTACATTTTATAATTATTAATATATACACACACACATACAGTACATACATTATACAAATCGTGTATGTTTACAATTATATAAAATACAATATAAGTAGTCCTTAACTTACAACCATTCATTTAGTGACTGTTCAAAGTTACAACAGCACTGAAAAAAGTGACTTACGAACAGTTTTCACACTATTACAGCATCCTTCCTCATGGTCCCTTGATTAAAATTCAGACACTTGGAACTAGCATGTATTTATGACAGTTTCATTGTTCCGTTGTGATGTAATCACAATTTGTAACTTTTCCCGGCGACTTCTGACAAGCAAAGTAAATAGAGGAAGCCAGATTTGTTTAACAACCATATGATTCATTTAACAATTAACAAATGCAGTGATTAACTTAATAATAGGTATGGCAAAAAGGGTGTAAAATGGGGCAAAGTTCACTTAACAATTGTTTTCTTAGCAAAGAAAAATTTGGGCTCATTTATGGTCATAATTTAAGGATTACCTGCAATTATATTATACTTGGAAATAAAGGAATTTACTGACAGTAAAAACAGTAAGAATTATTAAGCAATGGAGCAGCTTGCCTCCCAGAGTTTTGGGCTCTCCGTCGCTGGATGGTTTCAAGAAAAAAAAAAGTTGGACAACCGTTTATGCAAGATGGTATGAAGACTTGGGCAAGGAATTAGACTTGAAAATCTCCAGGGTCCCTTCAAGCTGTATGATTCTATTTATACAAAATACTGAACCAAAACCAAGCAAACTGCACTACTAGTCTGTAGAGATTCTCAGTCATTCAGGTCATGATTGTCCCAAAGGTCCTTTTTAAGGAGGCAACTGGACTGTCTTGGGTTTTTTTTTCTTTGAAGACTTTTTGCTTCTCATCCAATTGCCTCCTCAAAAAGCACCTTTGGAAAAACCATGACCTAGATGGCTGAGAATTTCTACAGATGTTTTAGCTATACAATTTGGGATGAACATCCTTTGAATGGTGTGGGAGTAGGAATGGATTTCCAGGAAAAAATTGCAGCCTACAGGAACCAGGAGCACTAATCAGGTGACCCTGAGGACACAGATAAACCTCCAAGGACCCTCTACATTTTAGAGTCTAAAAGGATGCAAATGACCAGCTGTCTACAAGGAATATAAATCCTTCCATTCCCCGCCATCCAGTTAGAACCGAAGAAGCTTCTTGATGAGAAGCAAAATGTCTTCAAAGAAAAAACAAGAAAGTCCAGTGGCCTTCTGAAAATAATAATCCAATTACTGAATTATTGAGATAATCAATAATTCTTGACTTTTTGGGATAGAAAACACTTTTATTTTCTGAACACAAAAATCCTTTCATTTCTCTCTTTGTCAACCACTATAGCTAAGCGTTTCAACTTTGGTTAATTTATGATGTGTGGACTTCAACTTCCATGAATTTAAGATGTGTGGACTTCAATTCCCCAGTCAGCATTCTGGGAGTTGAAATCCACACAACTCCAAGCAGCCAAGGTTGAAGAACGCTTTGCTATATTGTAGTCCAGGGGTCTCCAACCTTGGCAACGTTAAGATTTGTGGACTTCAACTCCCAGAATTTCTCAGCCAGCAAAGCAAAACTGGCTGAGGATTTTGGGAGTTGAAGCCCACAAGTCAAAGTTGCCAAGGTTGGAGATCCCCTTGTAGTCTACTGGAAAGTTAAGGGAGATCAATAGAAAAGCAGACATTAGCATAACTGGTCTTAATTCCCTCCAACCCAACCATCTCTGATAAATGCAAACTGCATTTAAATTTAAAATAGTCTAGTCATGGCTGCAAAGAAGCATTCATTGTGCCCACAAAGTGCCACCTAGAAAAGCTATTGTTTTAATTAATTGGATTAATGAATCAGGTTTGACTCCATCTAGAGATTAGTATCATCTGTCTATGATGCTACTTAAGGAAATTTGAGGGAAAAGATAATCCAGAGTTGCAAACTAAGATCTAGTCAGGACAGTCAGACATAATTCCTGCTGATTTAGATGGAGCTTACTCATATTTAATGGTATTCAGTAGCAGCCTTAGTGAGTATCAGAGTTCATGCAATATTAAGCAGACTGCTATAATGCAAGTATTTATATCAGAGGACGACAACCTCAAGTCCCCAATTTTATTTTCTGCAGCTGTCTCCACTACAGTTCTTCAATCCAATATTCAAAAACTGATACCTATAGAATGATTTCCAGCCATACTAAATCAGAAAATACACAAAAACAATATAGGTAGTCCTTGACTTACAACCACAATTAAGTCCAAAATTTGCTAAGTGAGCAATTTGTTAAGTGAGTTTTATCCCATTTTATGACTTTTCTTGCCATATTTGTTAAGTGAATCATTACAGTTGTTAAATTAGTAACACAGTTGTTAAGTGAATCTGGCTTTCCCATTGACTTTATCTGCCAGAAAGTGGTAAAAGATGGCCACATGACACTGTAACCCTCATAAATACACACCAGTTGTCAAGCATCTGAATGTAAATCACATGACCAAAGGGATACTGCAAAGGTCATAAGTGAAAAATGGTCACGTCACTTTTCCAGTGCTGTTGTAACTTCATTAAACTGTTGTAAATCAAGGACTATCTGCACTCTAATCCCTGAAACAGATTTGGCAAAGGCAATATGCCAAAGATAACCCTACACTATTCCCAAAATGGATTGTACCCCAAATCTATCCATGAAAATTTGGCCCCACCTATTGCCAATTCTAAATTTTCCCACAAGTTTAAAGAACATAGACAGCAATACAATCCATGTTGAACTAGACATTCCTGACTTATATAAAGTACAGCTGGTAAGCATTTTGATAAGCATTCCCTATTTTATTTAGATAAGAAATAAAAGCTCTTCTAAAATTATACCTGATACAGTGCAATGTATTTACTCAAAAGAAAAGCAACTTTCTAAATTAAGACACCCATATAAAAGAGTAACATTCTCTCTCTCTCTCTCTCTCTCTCTCTCTCTCTCACACACACACACAAATCATCAGTCTCTATTATGATGTTCTCAGAAATATTACAATCAACATCCTATTTTAAAGTTAAATATTTGGGAGAAAAAAGAATATATTTTCCTTTCTAGTAAATACAATACAGCTGCATCATTTAAAAAAAATCCTCTGCACTAAATGAAGATGGATTTTTTTCTTTTATTGGAAAGCACTGGATCCAATAAATTTTCCTCTTGAAAGAAGAGATGAAGGCAATCTTGACTACTGTAATCCTCTCTGCTCCAGCAATTCATTATATTATCTATCAGGCTGTTCCAAAGAGACTGTTTTCCAGAACAGCTTTTCAGAAAATGCAGCAGAGGTAGTTCTCGACTTAATAACTGGTCACTTAGCAACTGTTCAAAGTTACAAAGGCCTCCCCCCAAAAGTATGTATGACTCAGATTTGAATTCTGTCAGCCCTCCAGGGTACATGACTGCATTTTGGAAAGTTAGGAACTGGCCATCATTTATGGTTGTTTGCAGTATCCCACGGTCACATAACCACGATTTATGACATTTTTTCCGGAAACCAACATTTATTTCTAGATTAGTTTAGTTTTGGGCAAAAATATGTCAATAGTGAACAATGAGTTCACTTAATGACCATGATGTCCATTAATGACTATCACAAAAAAGGTTGTAAAATTGGATGCAGTTCCAGGATGACCTGCTTAATGACAAGTACAAATTACAACAGTAATTGTAGGCTCAATTACAGTCATAAATTGAAGACTACTTGTTCGCAGAAAAGAATCTACCTATTTCCTGCCCTGCAGAAGCAGAATTTCATTAAATCATAATCTGAATCCAAAACCCACCACTTTGTAAACTTGTGTTATAATTTGCCTTTTTTATAGTTTAGCAATGTTATTTCTAAAAATTATTTCCTAAACAAGAGATGATACAATGTTCCCATCTTGCCTTAGAATATTCCTTTGTTGACCCTTCTATATTTGTAGATCAGTGGTGGGTACCAGCAGAGACTACTGCTGGTTTGCTCAGGGGCACAGGGTGCCTGGCTTCGCACATTTGATGTGCACTGTGTGCGCATGCGCAAGACAACTAAAATTGTTTTGCGCATGAGCAGAAACCAAAAACAAGGTGGCGGCGTCTACGGCTCCACCGGGAGAACTGGTTCAGGAGTGTGGCACGCCTGGGTCACTGCCAGTTCCAGTGATCCAGGCCGCCAAGCTACTACCTGTTCAGCCGAACCAGTAGGAACCCACCACTGTTGTAGATTCATAACAAGGACAAAACATTATGGCAATACAGTAGAATTCTGAATTAGCATTAGGAAACTCAATGAATTGCTCTGGAACAATTACTATCTCTCCATCAAACATACCTTACAAGATATGATGCAAGAATAAGAGGAGGGAATATTAATAAGCAAGAATAAAAGTAAGGAATATTAATTATCGGCATACTGCTTTGAAAAAAAGATTACAAATAAAACTAATAAGTTTGTATGTCTGTACATATGTTTCTATTAAATCACTAAAAGCTAAGGTTGACCCAAAGAAAAAGGAGATATATATTTATAGCTTCTCTGTCTTCATAATATAATTCCAGGAGAAGAATATAAGATTCTTAAATATCTTCCATTTATCCATCAATTAAATCTAGATCTGTTTAGCTATATCCTGAACCCATAGACAATATCTTAGGACTTAGATATAAGTAAATAGACAGTGGCTGGAATAGTTGCATTAAAAGAAATCCAAGGATGGAGATCACTTTTTCTCAACAGCTATCTTGTGGCCTAGTTTGGGGGGGGGGGGGGGTTTCCTAAAAAGGTTGATCTATCTGTATATGTTTCACCATCACCACAAGAACAAGGGAGATAAAGTAGACCTGGTGGAAGATATAGTCTACAGATGCTATTGTCTCTTTAATTCTACAGTGAACCTGAAAAAAGTGAAAGAAAAAGAAAGAAAAATAGAACTGTAAAGGAAGCAAAAAGCTACCTTGAAATTTTGAATGTTCATGGGGCAGGGAAAATCTGCAGCCATATCTTGAAGAGAAATAAGCAGGAGTTCATTCTTTTCATTGTACAAAGTAATACACAGCCTCCTCAATTAAAAAAAAATGCAACGGATACAAATTTAATGGAAAAACAACAATATAATTCTGTACATATGGGACCTATTTCTGTATTATGCTCAGGGCTATAGACTAAATATTTAAAAACAAAGACTCAGACCACATGTATAATCCAAAGGATTCCAAGTACAGTAAAAGTGCAACCTAGATATGAGTCAAAGCTAGAGATATGTAAATAATAGGTTTTAATAAACATGTGCTGTGTTTATTAAAACCCTTAATTAGCAAGTTAATATTCATAACCTTATTTGTGCACACAGAGAAATATATAAAACATAAATAAGGAGAGGAAAAATATGCAGCCTATTTGTAATAGGCAAATTAAATAGGGCAGTTAAGAAAATGAAATAAATTCCAGAAAGATGCTATGCATGAGAGCTGCAAGATGTGAAGCTCCCATGGCTGCTGAATGCAAAAAGCAATAAGTAACACAAAGAACTACAGCAGCTTTACCTCCTTCTCTTTCACTCACCACTGCCCCCCAAAGCACCGGAGTGTCAGTGGCCTTCCTAAGATATTTACAGGGAATATTGCATTGGGATATGCGAGTGCGAGCATGTGTTACGGAGAGCATTTTATTATAAGCTCGAGGGAAGGATAAATCAGGAAATGGGGGCACGGGACTTAATGAGTTTTTGCTACTATACCACAAGATCAAAACCATTAGGACCCGCCATCTGCTTTATTCAAAGCAATTTACCCAATAAACAAGTTACCTTTTTGACCTGTTTCCTCCCCCCCCCTTTTTTTTTTGCTACTTCTAATTGAAGAGTTAAAAACCAGGGCTGGGTGGAGGATCTCCCTCTGTTTCCAGACCCCACTTATCAAACGGGGTAAGCGATCCCGACCAATTCCTCTAAAAAACGCCGGATTCAAAATAATGGCAACAGTTATTCGAAGTGTTCCGAAGTACTCAAATGGTACTTTGTCTCCCGAAGCTCGGTCGGAAGAACATAACGCCCCCTCTCCCCCCCAAGGAAAGGGCAGCCGGTCGCTCCGGGGCCCAGAGAACCGGGGTGGGTGGGAGAAAGGGGTTGGTTGGGGGTCGCAAAACCACCTCCCTCTCCAATGCAACGGGGCGCAAACAAGAGGCTCGAAAGCGATTCCAGACGGCGGATGTCGCGGTTCCTCCCTGGAGGTGGAGAGGAAGATGGGAAGAGGGGCTCACGCTCCTGCCCCAGAGGAGGGAAGCGTCTCGCTTCGTCCTCCTCTTCCTCGGGTCCAGTGACAAATGGACGGGTGGGCTTTTCCCGATCTCAGGAGCGGCGGCCGCGGAAGGGAGACGGGCAGGCACCGCCGTTCGGCCCTTTCCCTTCTTTCTCTCGCACGGAGCCAACTGGGCGAGGCTCCATCTTGCTCGCCTATGCAAAGGAGCGGGCGGAGAGGCGACGCCAAGCCCGCGGGCGACTCCTACCTGTGGGATCCGGAGAGGGGTGACGCTGGGGAGGGGGGGGAACCGCTTGGTCCGGGAAGCGCGAGCTCAAGCAGGGTCGGAGCCGATCCTTGCGGGGCGCTGCGGCCCCTCCCCGCCGCCGTCTTCCCTGCCTTCCTCCCAGGCGGGCAGACCGAGAGGGAAGGCGAGCCGGAAAGATCCACGGGCGGGGGAGCGGGCCTGGCCGAGACCGAGTGGGCCAAGCAGCTGCAGGGAGCCGCGGCGGCAGCGTGCGCGCTCCGGGGTCTGGGTCTCTGCGCCGCGGGAGCGAGCGAGGGGGGAGGCTGAGGCTGAGCTGGGGGAGGAGCGGCGGCGGCGGCGGCTGCTCTGAGCGGAGGAAGGGAGCGGCAGGCGGACGCCTCCGAAAGAGGCCGCTGGCTGGGGCGGTCGCTGGAGGGAACAGCCGCCCGGAGAACCTGGCCTGGCGCGTTCCAGGGGCGACGCGACGCGGCGTCACATGTGTCTGGGAGGCGAAATGACGGAGCCGGCGAGCTGTGCTTTTGGGCCGGGCTCGGGCTGCCGGGGGGCCTCAGCTGGCAGGCATCTCTGCGGGGGTACGGGCGAGCGAAATGCGGGGAGAGGGCCCCCCGGGAGGGGGAGAGGGCAAGGTGGTTTCGAGGGCGAGGGGCCACAGGCTGTCACCTTCAGAGGCGGACCCTAGAAACGCGGGGGTCACTCAGCGCCGCAGAATTTGATAAGGACTAGCCAAGCACTGATAAGGGTTGGGGTGCAGGTCTGCAGCCCCAATTACTACCCGATACCATAAAGCGAATTGACTTGTAAGCCTATGTGCTTCAATATAATTATTTTCTTGTGTGTGTTTGCTAAAGGAAACCGCATATATGCATAAATCAGCGCTTAAATATCACCACATCCTGATGCATTTTTCGTTTATGTCTTAGGATTTATGAGCTGCCCTGTGGCTAAAATCTCCCTGGGTGATGGATAATAAAAACACTAAATCAAATCTGAGTAAGCCATAACAAAGGCTGCAAAACAAGGTATCAGATGAAAAGATAATTAAAAACACAGAAATTAAACTGCTTAATAGCAAAACAGAGTGGAAATATATGAAAAGGCACACTGGTCTAATAAAAAAAATAAAAGACCTGCTGCCAGCAAAGTAGGCTTTAAGTGGATCTCTTTTGGAGAGAGACTCCATAGAATAGAGACTAAAGGAAGCGAGAACATTCTCCTCTCAGACAACAACAATTTCAAGGCTTGGGTAGAATTGCAAAAAAAAAAGGGGGGGGAGATTTAGCTGCAGATTTTACCATAAATACCCAACAACGTGTATTTCTATCCATTTGAGAGGCAGTAAAAATTACTGCTAGTCCTGTCAGAATTGGGCTTCAATTAAAAGCTAGAAAATTTGTTTCTATCAAACAGTGCTTGAACCTCATGAGCTGTCACCCCACTGGAGTATCTTGCCTGGTCAGGCTTTCCTTCTTTTACTGAAATCCTTACACATGATAAAGCTGCCACCTTCAGACTCAGCTGTTGTGAGTTTGGAAGCAATATCAATGTGTACAAGTATCAACCAACTGCAGTTAATCCACCATGTTTCTGAAAGTCCTTCATAAATAATAGGATTTTTGTAGGTTATCATATCCCACATCCTTTCAATGAACGAGTATACAATTCTCATGGGCTGGCAAGGGCATTTCTGTACAATTGATAAGCTTAATCCAAAAGTTCAATAAATATACCAAAAAAATTAGTGCTTCCTTAATTGTAGATTTTTTTTTCTTTTCTGGAGGAGATTTGAGAACAGGTCTCTCAGATTCTATATATATATATCACTCAGGGCAGTGTTGCCCCCTTTAGATGAGCAGTTTATAATTTTGAAAAGGAAAAATAAAGTTTGATTCCACCCTTCAAAAAAGTCATCAATATTTATATGTGCATATACTATTTCTGATTATTGGTGTTACATATTATAACTAATCTATCATATTACATATTATAACTAATATCAGGATCGCAACTTGTGCCCATCAGCTTTGAACCATGTCAGTTTCCTCAAGTATCCTATTTCTTGGGTGTCAAACAGATGCATCAACTACTGGCCACGCCCATCCCCATCTCCTTAGTCAAGGAGAAAAAGTTGTGATATGTCACATGACAACAATGTGTCATGAGTTTGACACTCCTGTTCTGAACTGATTTCATGCAGCCTCAGGTTGTTTTCTTAGGCCACACTGATGGATAATTTTTTTGGTTCAATGCTATCCAGCCAGGCCAGGATACCCTGGAAGATGCGCAGGCTGGGCCATGGAATCATACCAGGGGTCTGAGGGGCCTGGGGTCAGAGGTTGAGTGGTTCAGCTGGATTCATCCCAAAGAGACTTCTGGCAATACTCGGTTCAGAGTTGATGCCTTGAGACCTATTCTGAGAAAGTAAGTGCTGTTTTTGTGGCTGGTCTGGGTGTTTGGGCAAGGATAGAGGCAGGCAAAGCTTAGCCAGGAAATATGGGATTTCACCATCCTCATTTGATAGATTTGCTAGATTGTATCATTCATTCTGGGTAAATCTTGGGGGAAAAACAACCCAGTAATAAAACCAAGTCTAGAGTCTCTGGTTTAAAAAATATTGCTAGGTATCACACTAAGATACTTTTCATTTTTCACCCAGTAGCGCAGTTTCTGAAACTCAGCAACTTTTAAGATGTATGGGCTTCAATTCCCAGAATTCTCCAGCCACTATGACATCTGGGCAATTCAGAGAGTTGAAAGCCTTGCATCTTAAAAGCTGCAGAGGTTGAGAAGGATTGCTTTAGAGACTTGTAACAATATATGAAAAAGATTCAGTCTTGCCGCCTGATGAACTTCAGGTTAATGAACTAATTCTCCTCCAGCACTTGGATGTATTTTAGATAGATAGCCCTGCTTGATGTCAATCTGCCAAGTTCTCTATAGAAAACTAATAATAGTACATCCAGGTAGATGCACCCTTTGCCTCTTGGCTTGGTCAGCATATGCATATCCCCTGTACTGTGGGAGACTATTTAATTTAGGTTTTCCTGTTGAACTAAAAATAAAAATCCTTTGTGGCAATCCTTTTTTTCCGTGACCCATCAAAACCGCGCTCAACTAAACCGTGCCCGATTAAACCGCGTCGCTGACGTCATCAACAGGGCGACAACAGCCAGCGCGGAGAAAGAAGGGCGCTTTAAATAGCGCTTTGAAAGCAAGCCGATTCAACTTAAGGTAAGGGTTAGGTTTAGGGTTAGCTTTAGGGTTAGCTTTAGGGTTAGGTTAAGGGTTAGGGTTAGGTTAAGGGTTAGGTTTAGGGTTAGGTTAAGGGTTAGGATTAGGTTAAGGGTTAGGTTTAGGGTTAGGTTTAGGATTAGGTTTAGGGGGGTTAGGTTTAGGTTTAGGGGTTAATTTTAGGTTTAGGGTTTACAGCGTGCTTCTGTCTCCGCGCTGTTGTCGCCCTGTTGATGACATCAGCGACGGGGTTTAGTCGGGCGCGGTTTAGTCGAGCGCGGTTTTGTGGTGGAACCTTTTTTTTTCAGCCAGTTCTAATGATATTAGTTCTGACTAAAAATCTGGTGTTGCAATTAATATTAAAAATGCCTCTAAAATTTTTAGTTTGCCCACTGTACATTTTTGTTATACTCAGCTGCAGATTCTAGGCATATACCAAAATGTTGATTTTTAACAGCATCAGCTATAAACAAATTTAAAACTCGTCTCATGGATGTAGCCATATGAAGGGTTAAACTCAATGGAAAACCAAGGTTGAAACATTTGTTTTAAAGAAATCTGTTCAAAAGAAACTGCTTTTCTCGTCTTCTACAATACAATATAAATAAGCATTAAGATTATTTTAAAGCAAGTCATTGTAGGTTGTTGAGGTTATGTTTTTTTTAACTATCTTGTGCTTTTGAATAGAGAAGACGTCATCTGTTCCCTGCTGGCACACATTACATTTAAGTAGCTGGATACATACAGCATGAGACAGTGGAGTCTCTGCAGCAGCAAACAAACAATTAAATATTAATCTACTGCACTTTTCATGATAATGCTTGTAGCTGAATGGAGCCAGAATGCAGTTCCTGTGCTATTTTTTAAAGAGAAGCTTGTTACAAAATGGACTCCCAGTCTTGCTCAGCTATTTAGGATAATTGGCTGAAGCACAAAATCAGTAATGCTAAACTCTTCAACCTAGTATCAAAATCTTTTTTAAGGATTATATAAATGTTAATTTCTTTATGCACATTCCTGGTGGCAGCTGCAGTTCAATATTTATGTTTCTTTAAAGAAGTCTTTAATATTTATGTTTCTTTAAACAAATATTTACCTTTACAAATCTCTGTTCCTAATTTAATGACCTAGATAGAAATGTGCATGTATATAAATGATTGTTCCAAAGAATCTGGTCAGATTTATATAGACAGCTATGTTAGTTTATGATAGCCAAAAATCAGAAGGAATCTGGTACTCCTTTTCAGACCAACATATCTTAATAAAGGGCATAAGCTTTCATGAGCTGTGGCTCACTTCACCAGATATATGGGGTGAGTAAATTGATCAATTTTGCCCCCTGCATATGATGAAATGAGCTCACAAAAGCTTATGACTTTTAATAAAATAATTTAATAAAATATTAAAGGGCTACAAGACTCCTCCTGATTTTATACAAATATAGAATCCTGTACAATATGCCTGTTTGCCAGAGCTAGTTTGGTGTAGTGGTTATGGCATCAGGCTAGAAACAAGGAGACTGTGAATTCTAGTCCTGCCCTACACATGAACCCAGTTGAATGTGTGTGACCTTGGGCCAGTCATTCTCTTTCTCTCCACTCTAGAAAGAAGGCAAAGACAAACTGTTTCTGAAAATCTTGCCATTAAAACTGCAGTTCTAGTCCAGACAGTTGCCAGGAGTCAACACAGAATTGAATAAATAGATACCTGTTTTCACACCAAATTGCATTTACATCAGTAGAATTCATTTCCATATAACTATGGAGCATTGTAGAGGGAAGTGATTACCAACTCATAAGTACATGGTATTATCAGGCCAATGCAGAAATACTTTCATACAGACGAGAAAGGATGTAGAATATCCAAATTTCGCAACACTTCATCTTGAATCAGCATAGTTCGTAAGCTACTTCATCTGATTCTGGATCTAGTTCATGAGATGAAGCTGAACTTAGTAAAACTGCTTCAAGGACTGAGAAAGGCTGTGCTTTCAAAGTATCAGAAGGCAGCATACTGGATAAGCTTGTATATGACTAAGCAGCTTCTTTAGGGCTATATTGCAAGCCAGTTCAGTGGAAGATACTGATAGGCTACCATCTCTACAAAGGTCACACAGAACAGGCTCAAGTCTAATTGGGGGTCTGATTGGCTTCAGAATGCTCAAAGAAGTTGGTTTCTGAGATAAGCAAAAAGGCTGGCAAGTGAGGGAAAGAGATCAGATCCGGCTCTCCTCTTGAGTCTGCAAGACTTCAGCTATGGATGGCGATAGAAAAAGTAGGAACTATCCAAGAAGAGATGGAGAGATGAGGTTTTTCTTCTCATTTCATGAGATTTCTGTACTGAAGCAAACATATTACTAGTCCAGAAAATCCATTCTTGGGAAAACTGGAGGACAAACACACAAAAAGGGAACCAGAACCATTTCCATCTTCCTTTTTGTTACTTAAGAAATTTCAAGGAAGAACAGATGAATTATCAACAAGTTTATACCTACTGCTCCTGAACCTATTAAAACCATTAGGCTTTTCTTCAAACTGGATTCTTTTCCAAGACTCCTTGTAGCTCATAAATGTACCAGTTTTACTGAGAAGAGGAATTATTCCAGCAGTGGTTTTGACCATAATATTAAGTGTATGTGTGTGTGTGTATAATTGCTCTTTGTAATGCCGTAATCTAAACCAAATACTTGATTTAAAAAAATAAGATTTGGAATAGCAATGCCATGGTTGCCTTACCTATATTGGTCCACTAAATAATAGAAGAAATATAAAATGGTTTCAGCGAAACCTACTTTTATACTCCATAATGATTTTGTTAATTATGTATGAGATTTCTTTCTGCCTCACTGATTTTAATCTCTTATCTCTGGCGTCCATTGAAGGCTGCAGCAAAACAGCAAGTATTCAAATCATACTTCAGTTGAATGTGGAGATAGACAACTGTGTTTCTTAGAAAGGTGCTTTCCCTCCCGTACAGTAAATATAAATCTATAAGCTGAAAGCTTTTTAAAGAGTTTTTCCTTTCTTGTAAGACTTGGACCATCTTGCATATTATAATCACCGATTTTTTCTTTTTCTTAAATAAAATGTACTTTTCACTGCTTCAAGCATCAATAAAAAATCAATACCAGTTACTGAAAAGCAGCTTCTTTTAATGTTAAAAAAAGTGATATTTTCGTCATCCTGCAAATTTCTGGGCCTGGGGTTGGGGGGACTTCTCCTTACAACCAGATGTTGAATTGACCATCAATTTACCACATCTCAATTTTAATTTTGAACAGTTGTTTAGCTACAGTAATATTGGTTATCTACGATGAAACGAGTGTTGATTCTTTTATCCACCAGTTTCTCCAGGATTTTGTGATATTATCAAAATGCATTTTCTTCAGGAAACTGTTCTACAGTCTGCTTTTCTTTTTTTAACTCAGGATTACCTTGAGATAATTAGCTATATCTACTAAGTTTCATAGACAAGTTAGGCTTTCCACATGAAATTTTATTTTCAGTTGTTTCTGAAAATAAGACAGTGCAGATGCCCAAATGTACAGAATATTTATTCATTAAATGTGAAATCCAATATATAAAGGTTCATACATGACTACACTATTAGCTGTATTTTATAGGGAATAGCCAGATATTTTTGCATTTCATTTCAATCTATCAAACTAAGGGACAAAAATACCGATCCAGAGTTACTATCTCCATAATTACCATTTATCCAAAAGCAATCTGAAATGTGTAATATTGTATCAAATGTCCCATAATATTTTTCCAACTATCGTTAAAATATGTTTTTTCAGTTAACTGTGCTGAACAGAAAGGCATTCTTCCTGTCCTAAACTAGGGTGAACCAGCAGTTAGAATTTTTCTACAAAAACCTACCCTTTAAGAACACAAAGTTGTTTAAGCAGATACCATATTTGGAAGTGATCTTGGTCAAGAAAAATAATCACAAGAGCAGCACATTCCTTTTCACTCATGTGACTGGGAAAAGTAAGCAAGCAAACTTGTCTTAAAAGGTGGGGCAGAAACAGATTATACAAATCACAAATGTGCATGCACACACAGGCATCACTTCTCTTACAATGTTTAAAAAGTCAAATGATTCCTGTAAGGGGAAGCAGGATAACGTGAGAATATATCTACAGAAGCTTCTAAGTCTAATCACTTTACAAAGGTCTTGTCTGACGAGTTACAATCTTAGGCAAAACACAGCAGGGAAAGAGACTGGGGCAAAAGGATATATATTACATGGGATTAGTTAGTAAGTGCCATTGTAAAGAAGATTCCAAAATCGGATTTAATTTATGTAAAAAATTGCACACCTTGCCCTTACCCAGTAGCTTTCAGTGGAAGCCTTGTCCTTACTTATGCACATAAAATTTCCGTACTGGATGTGGCTACTACCTCTCATAAATATGCAAATAATTCCTGTAAGCAGACATTTTGATGTTTATTTAAAATATTTTTATTCCACTTTTCTACTTAAAAAGTATTCAAAGAGACTAAATCAATTGAGTCAACAAGGTCTAACATAGTCTTGCATTCAAACACTCATTTGCAGATGACAAAAGAAAATACAGTTTAAATAGTGTTAAGGTTTCTAGATTGCAGATTGTATCCAATTTAAGCTGATTGTTCTGTAAACCACTGAGTCTGTGTTGATTTAGCAGTATATCAGTAGAATGACTACAGTAAATTTATTTCTGCTATACAAACACTTCTCCCAATTTTTTAATTCAATGGACGCTTCCGTGAACAGAAAAATAGGTGTTTTCTGCAAATTTCTTCTCCCATTTAACTTTCCATTTGTTCCAAAATTTTCTCCAATTCTTTGGAGTACGTTTGGAGAGAAAGAGGTTTGACGGGTTGAAGCACCAAAGGAGAATTAGCAAAAATGCTTCCTTGTATCTCACTAGAATCTCTGCTGAATCAGAGCTTCCCATTAGCAGAACTGGACAGATCTGAAACCACAGTACTTACACATTTATCACTGAAGGTTTTTAAAACCAACAGACTTCTTTAATGAAATGGCTATGTATAAATAATAGTCCGTGACCATGAAAGCAGGATATTTTTTTTCTTATTCAATATGTACAGAAAAGAATTAAACAATTCTATTTATTTAATGCAGTTAGAAAACATGTATATAGTGAAACACATTTTTTTACAAAGACTTGCATTCCTTCTAAAACTGAAAGTGTATTTTTCTGATTAGCTTCATATTCTTCTCCAGAAACTCAAGGCAGACACCTAATAGTCCCATTCCAACTTTCCCCCCTAACAATAACCCTGTGAAGAAAATTGAGCTGTGAGAGATAAGAAGGGGAGAGAGAATCTACAGCTGAGAGTGGATTTGATCTGTTTCTCCCTGGTCCTAGCCAACAACTAAACCACTGCAACACACTTTTAAATATAGTAAGAATTAATTTTTGCCCAATGGAAGTGCCATCAGAGTTTTTCTAAGAAATTTCCCAACACAAGAGTATTTCAAATCAAAACCATACTCTTACTTTTCTCTTTCCAGTACTTCAAAATTAAATGTCAGCTTTAAAACAAAAACATAAAAGAGCCACAATATACCACAAAGAAAGGTGTCACTGCCTAAAAATGAAACAATTAACAATTCTCAATCTGTTCAACTTAATGTTTTGAAAAATATGAGTGTTTGACATTTTAGAGAGGATGTCCCAGGGCCATCTACCTGAATTGGCAACAGAAAACTTCACTGACAAAGCTGTCACGTTGCCAATGCCCTATAGGTAATAGGAATGAGGTACAAAATTAGAACAGTCCTAGAATTGACATATATTTTCTTCTTTCCATTAAAATCTAAAGGTAAATTTTAAAAGCCAGTGAGCAAATGAAACCTAATATTAGTCCTTCTATTTTTTTTTTCTCCTGGATAGTGAGACAAGCAGGTTTGTGAATTGGAAGTTCCTTTATCAATAATTCCCTCCCCATTGCCATAGATTCCGGCTTGCGCCCCCCCCCCCCCAATTCTTCCAATTTTTGGGCATATTCTGCACGCTTTTAAATTTAGAACTGCTCTAAATTGTTTTTGAAAAAATTTTCTTGTACAAGGGAGCATGCTTTTTCATAGGGAATTTCCAAACTGGACTACTACATACCTACCGATAACTCCAATTATACAATAATACTAAAATTAAAACTACAGGAATTTGAAAAAGCTATTTTGACAGTTTAGCAGTCTGAAATCAAATGTGATGCTCAGATTGCTGTCTTCCAAAAAAATAAAAAACATGCTAAAGGTGCTTGAGTAATTATTTTTATGTAATCATGAAAAAAGTCTGGAAAAATAAACTCCACTATCTATGCAGTAAGCTAGATTAAATCCATACTTCTCTATAAAAAAAGTGTTTTCATATTACAGAAGTACAATATTCTTCTTAATTAAATACACATTTGTATTACTTAGTTGTTTTCTAAAATGTAATACTGTTATTCATCAGCCAACTCAACTCTTTTTTGACATGACATTTCAGAAGATCATAAAGTTCTTAATATCACCAGGAAGTGGAGGAAAGGAGGGGCAAAAATCTAACACACAACAGAGGAAATTTTAATTTTAATTCTAAATCATTTTTCTTTTCCTAAAAATGACCAAGAAACAGCTGCAACATCCTACTCCTGCCTGAAATATTTTGAACTGAGATTGTACTATATACTTTTCATGAATATTATTAACTGACTTTATGTAGTAAATTGAAAAACATTACAAATTAAAAAAATAATTATGCCCATTTGAAACTGTGGTTCTATATGCAGAAAACAATCCCTCACCAAAATAATTGTGATCTTGATCTTTAATCAAATTACAATATTTTTAAAAAGCAATGTACAAATAAGCAGTAAACAACAAAGGTAAACAAAAATGTTTCACAAATGAGAAACTAGTAGAGAGAAAGTTGCTCCAAATATTTATAAAACTTTGTATCTTCCTTTGTTGGTTGGTTGGTATGAATTTTGCTGCAAGAGAACAAATGAGTATGTTATTAATCAAAGATCCAATTGATAATGATTAATAGAACAGTAAGTCAACCTAACTATATAAAGCAACAGAAACACGTTTAATTCAGAGTTGCACAGAACAGACCTCCACAAATTGGATTATTATGAAGCAGAGCAGGGGATGCAGCTTTCATTAATTCTTCCCAATAGTCTTTAAAATCCATACTAAGTGGTGAAACATATTTAAATCATTATATATGAACTAGCGTTTGGGGGGTGGGGAATACTGTTGAAGCAAGCAAAAACTAGGAAAAAATTGCCCTCTTCTTCTTATATAGAAAATTCTGCTACCATCAGAAGGACAATTCTGTTCAAACAAATAATTTTGAATGCAATCTTATGAAAGGAGTATAAAATGAAGTTCAATAAGCATTTAACTGTGTTAAAGCTATTTCACTTCTGACATCATCACATTAGATAAAGACTCCTTCAAAATAAAACTATACATGTGAATTGAAAATACAATGATGCATAAAATAAGCAAAAATAAATATATACAGAAAGAAAATTGCTCTACTTTTACAGAAAAATGTAATATAATTCTAAAAAAAAAACTTCCCAGATTTTAACTACTGAAAAAATATGTTTGTTTTAAAAAAGGCATCCTGTAATAAAATGTTCTTGATATATTACTGCTAACAGTGGCTAATATGAATTATAAAGTAGAAATTCATTACTTTAAGACTTCAGAATTTGCAATATTGAATAAGTAAATTTAAGATATTATGATAGATTTATATTACCCTGTCATCAAAAATTCAGTAAAAATGGTGCAATGTGTTAAATCAGGAGAATTCCCAAAAGAACAGCAATCTTCTTACTTCAACCTCCCTCAACCACTGGAAATGCCAAAACAGCTGTTCCAGGAGCTGTTCCTTGCAAAATCTTACAAGCTGATTCTTTGGAACAGGTGATCCTGTAGGTACCTAGGTATCAAGCCACAGAGGGCTTTATAGGTCGAAATAATGATCTTACATTGAATTCTGAAACTGATCAGCAGCCAGTGCAGGCCTTGCAAAATTAGTACTGGAGCATATAATCACTGGGAGCTTGTACATACGGATGTCTTTTAACATTTCATACAGAAATCATGAAATCATATTTTACCTACCAATCGGATAAGCTCTTCTTTGATAAGCCTAGTGATTTCTGCCTTTGCTTTCTGAACAGCCAATTCGTTGGCACCTGGAAATGCAAAGCAACCCCCATTAAAACATCTGATTATTTAAACATAATCTTAAGTAGTTTGAAAGATTTTTAAATAATCCATTAATTGTATATTAAATGTATGCTTTAAAATTGATTAGTATCATTTTGTACTATCTCACAATAGTTGGTCAGAGTTGTTAGGAGTTAGGCAGCCTATACAGTGTACAAACAAACATACAAATAGATAAATAAATCAAAAGTCCTTTTGCATCAGGATATACTCATTTAAGTAAATATAAATAACAGATATAAAGCAACAGTTGTACCAAGTTTCTTATGCAGCTTTAAAAGTCTCCTTAACTTTAAAAAGCACATTCTCTGAGGCTATACATCTCTGGCAACTTTTTTTCATATTCCCTTAGTAAGGAAGCCCAAAAAATCCAGATTCTTTTAAAGCAGAAAGATTGTGTATTGGCTGTTTCAGATCATGTTCCAAGAGAGTGTAATCCTTAGCTCAGTGATGGCTAACCTTTTTGCCATTGTGTGCCAAAACTCCGGAGGGCAAAAACCAGCCAAAAATCAGCTGGCCAGCACACTGGAGCTGACAGAGCAATGCCTCATGTGCCCTCAGAAATGGCTCCACATGCCACCTGTGGCACACACGTCATAGGTTCGCCAACCTGCCCTTAGCTCATGCTAGCCCAAAACCCATGCAAGGGCTGCGAGTATGCATGCGCTGACCTGCCACTCAACACACCCAGTTCCCTTGTTCCCCCCACCGAGCTGGGCTGCCAAGCCACAAAGGTCGGAGACCACTGTACTATGTCATAAAACAGACCTGGGCATTTTACAATTCCGGGACCATATCTTGCTCTTTGGTTGTCCCTGTCCAGTCCACATAAGGTCAATCAGAAATTAGAAATCAAATGTAAATAAGTGTACTTTAAGCATGTAATAGAACTGCATTGCTTTTATTTTGAAGGCAACTGCTGTTTCCCCCCCCCCCCAATTTACATATATGGGTGTGTGCCTATGTCCTTTTGGTTTGGACCCCCACAACAGTCCTAGTTTCTTATGTGGCTCCTTGGGAAAATTAATTGCCTGGCATAAAAGAACATCTATGTAATTCATCTTAACACTGCAAGCTACTTTCTTAGAATTGTTACAGTTTTCAAAATAGCCTACAGTGCTTAATTGTTTATTTATAAGATTCACTTTATTTTAAAGGAATAGACTTTTGCAAAATATATTCAGCAGTCATGTGTTTTCCATCAATAATTACCTCATTCCATAAAATATTCTATCTTCTCATTCCTTTTACTGAATATATTTACTCTGACTGAAAAATGAGAGAAAAGCCAGGAGGCAGAGATTGTTTTTTCTCCAAATATTTAAAACAAGTCTTAAGAATATTTTTGTAATTGTAGATATTAATTCTTTAGTGACAGGCAATTTATAGTTATTTTAAAGAAAAGGGAGCTCAATGCTAATTCAATTTGTAACTATTGGACAATATCCAAATAAATGATAAGAGCCATCTTTCTTGAAAGGCATCAAAATAATGTATCAAATATCATACAGCTAAACTTCTATCATGCTTTTGTTTATATTGAATGGTCATTTTAAATATGGAAAGAAAATTCTACCAAATCAAGATGATGAAAAATATTAACTTCCGTTTGAGGGCAAATAAAATATTAAAACTATAGTTCATACTAGAAAATAGACAGTGTGTGACACACACACACATATGGATGTGAAAATCCCCCAAATCTCTTCTCCAAATAGCCACTTTCACTATTTATTACACTATTTCTATACTATCCAATTCCCAATTGACTCTAGACACTTTACAATAAAACAAAGATAAAAATAAAGCACTAAACCAAACAGATTGTAAGCAATGATTTCATCAAACTTTCAAAATACAAATTACATGACCATAAAAATATTACATGCAGGCTTATGAGCACAAAAAGATTTCCAGTGTTGCAGTAAGTTCAGTTTCTTTGTATTTACAATCAAATCCTACTCTGGGGAAGGTGCAGCCAAATCCATTGCATTCAGCGGGCTGTGATTATTTATTCTGCTTGTATCAAATTCATACTTGAAATATAAATCCTAATGTACCTGGAACAGATTGTTTTTAGTAAATAGCCATTACACTACTTTATCCTTTTTAAAAATAATTTTACTAAAGCGCAACAAGGAAATGTACAAGGAAAAAATAAGAAATATCCCCATGCCTCTTACAAATTACTCAAGAGGCAAAAAATAATCGGAATTGACAAAAATGAATAGAAACCATAGATTTATTCAAGGATAAAAGCTGTGGTTCATGACACCAAGGCAGAGTAACCTATACACCAGGCTACAAGCTAGAAATAGCTTGTGTTCCAGGCTAGAAATAAAACAATCTGCTACACATGAGACAGAGAAAAAGTAAACTCTAGACAAAAACACGTTTCTGCAAAAATAGACAGCTGAATCCCTAGCTGCCTCTCATGCAGGAAGGCAGATTCTGTTATCTTTCAACAGAACTGGGAAAAGATACGTATTGCTCCCTAAGAGTGGAATGTAACTTGGCTGGTACAGGAAGATGAAAGGGACAGCTGCTGATAAAAGCACCATGCGTTATTTCAGCAATTGGGCCAGCAGGGCTGGATTTTGATTTTCATAAGCATGTTTGGGGCAGGTAGATAGTGGAGAGACGAAGCCTATCATCTTTCTCTATCAGCAATTGAGAAAATATTAATTGCTATGTAAGGTGCGGGTTCCTCATTAGATCGCAAATGTAGCCAGTGCCAAGAATAAAGAAAACAAACAAACCAAACCCGATGCCCTGCGGCTATTTTTTTGTTTGCTCAGCTGGACAGAGCTTGAACAAAAATGACAAAACAGAGTTAGTTCTCTTGCAGTCAAATATGCATGCTTGCTCTGCTGAAATGTAAAACTGCCTGTTTTTGTGACCGTTGTCCCCCTCTCTTTATGTCTCTCTCCCTTTCTGTTGTATCTGTGCACACCCTGTACTTTTGTTTAAAAGAGCAAACTGAATCATCAAAAGATTAACCAACAGGGAAGTGGAATCTGGGGCAGGATTGCAAGGGAGAGCTATTATTGTTTATTTTGCTCAACTTGCTACTTTTCTTTCCTCATAGTAACAGTTTTAAGATTCTGGTTAGCAGCAGTGGACCTTTTTGCTGGTGGGGAGGGCACTTCACATAAACAATGTTCTGAACACCTGCTTACTTAACATGTAAATCAGGAAATATACAAAGCAATGCTCAGTTGCAGATTTTTCACACCTAAAACTCTTTCCCAAGGTTGGAGCCCTAGTTGATATAGGGTATAAGTTAGCATTCCTTCTCAGAAAGTTGGGGTATTAGTCATACTCACTCTCAATAGCCAAGTAAATTTTTCTTTCCCCCTCCTTGGGTTCTTTGCCCGGAGGAAAATAGGTTCCTCTGATTGTAATGGCAGCTTCAGAATATTCACTTATTCTGTGCAGTGCTTCCTTTGAAGTCACCTTCCATCTAGCAGTCTGCAAAAGAAAGTGATAAAAAATTCTAAATAAGATGAATTACCTAAAGTTGCATGATAAAATTATCAGATATTTAAAATCGCATCTACGTTTTTAGCTTCTATTCATTGGAAAACTAATATAAGATCCATATGCATAGCATTTTTATAAAAATCATTAAGAAAGCTGGATTTAATAAATTTATCTTTCTGGAAACACTGTTTTGAGCTAACTTTTAAATGTTTAGCATTTTTTCTATGCCAGAGTTCATCTATGCCCTGCTATTGTGTTATTTACTTAATGCCTCATCTCAATTCAAAGAATAAAATTTCCCCCACAGGGTTTTGTGGGTTTCATTTACTAAAGGCAGAGGTTTTTTAATTTATATAGTTATTTATTTATTTATAATATATATGTAAGCAGCTTTCAGACAAACAACACAATTTCAAAGTGTTAAAAGGCACTACAGAGCTTTATGCTTGAAAGCATGAAACTGGACTTTGTATTCCTACTAAAGTTTATGCAACAGTCTGGTTAAGGGCCATATTCTGGGCATGTGTGCTGTCAAAGGGCAAGCAAAATAAAGTAAAACAACTTGATAAAGAGCCAGAGTAATGAAGAATGCACATTAATAATTTTACAAGACTAAAAAAGGCAAAGAATAGGGACCACTCATATATCAAAGCTCTTTTGGATGCTAAACAAGCATCTCCAAATTGCATATTAAAAACACACCCGATTGCTTCCAGCATTTTTCTGAATACATATAACACTGGGGGCTGGAATTCTAGGAAAGCAATTGTAATTTCCAAGGACAACATTTTCACTGCCAATATAGCCAAACTGATTTGTGTGCTGTTGAATAGCATCCAAATGCCCCTCATTGTAAACTGAATCTTTTGTTTTTCAAATACCCCATCATTCTCCATATTTTATTTGGGATGAGAGCTTATTGAGAGCCAGTCTGATTTAGTGGCTAGGTCACCACACTAGAAAGCAGACCGTGAGTTCAAGTTCCGCCTTAGTCATGAAAGCAAGCTGGGTGACTTTGAGCAAGTCACATTCTCTCTCACTCCAACCCACCTCACAGAATTATTGTTATGGGAAAAGTAGAGGACAATATTCTACTTAAAGTTAGAAAATCTTAAGGATACTGAAGTATAATTGCTACTGCTGAACCACTTATAGTTCTTGTTTTCTTTCTATCATCTATCTATCTATCTATCTATCTATCTATCTATCTATCTATCTATCT